GGAGTTCAAATTGCAACTCAGTCCCCCAGGGCTGTCCTCAAAGGCAGCCAGCACACACTTCCCTGTTCCTCACAGGTATTCAAAGACTGTGCTCACCCTGGCCGGGTGCTCAGTTGGTTGGAGCATGGTCCCGTACTCAAGGTTATGGGTTTGATTCCGGTCACTACACATACAGGGGGCCACCGATCAATGTTTCTCTCACATCGGTATTTCTCTCTCTTTTTCTTCCTTCCTCTGTCTCAAAAAATAAAAATAAAATAAAATCAATAAACATATCTTCGGGTAAGGATAAAAAAAAAGACTGTGGTCAACTGTGGAAATTTATTACAATTAAAAATTTTAACATTTCATCAAGGACATTGTTAATCAACATGTGGGCAGAGGGGGCACTGCCACATCTGGTACAGCTGCCTTATTTGTGCTAAGTTTCACTTGTCATACCCACTGTGGCTTCTGCGCCATTCATGCAAAGATGGCTCAAAACAGGATCTTGCAGACCCTCTGAAAGGATCTTAGGGCTGCCTAGGGTTCCTTGAAGCCCACTCTGACAACTGCTGATATGAAAGCACTTAGAGGGGTGTGTGTGTGTCCCCTTTTCATTTCCACCCTGTCCTCCTTGGGCAGCTGGAGTGCCCAGCTGGTTGGCGAGGCCCCGTGGGTGTGGCACTGCTTTGGGGCGGCTGCAGCTCTAAGCCTCCAGCCGAGCTCTGGGTTCAAGCACAGAGCATCCTGGGGAGCTTCTCTCTGCTTCTCAGCGCCCCTCACCCCCCACCCCGTCCATCCGCCCTGCCTCTGCGGGGCTGTTCCCTTTGAAATGACCAGGAATTGAGTTGGATGAGGGTTGGATGCAGCTCTGGTTACACCCCATTGACTTGGGTCTCCAAGGTCTGGAAGGTGAGCTCAGGCCACTCTCCCCAGGGGGCGCTAGGACTGAACTCTGTCCACCCAGGATTTGAGACATCTTTCTTCCAGTTGCTCTCCCTCAGGGAGCCCTTAGGGGAGCGGATTGGGCCTGGCTTTCAGGTTCAGATATGCACACCACCCATGGATGTGGGAAGTACACCTGGCTTCTTCTCATGCCCCAGAGCCGGCCAGCCAGCCTGCCAGGGCGCTGCTGGGCTTTGCATGGCTTGTCCCTCTGGAGTCGTCTCTCCATCTCAAGGTCATCTGGTTAGCACCCTCAACACCCCTGTGCCGTGTAAGAAAACAGATTCATACGTTCCGGGGCTTAGGACATGGTCAGCTTTGGGGCCATCATTCCGCCAATCACACCATCCCTTGAAGCTTTTTGTATCCTTGCTACCTGTGTTTGAATCCACAGTTAGGTCTGTTCCTTCGTGCACTTGCATTTTCCACTCAGCGTCATTAGGTCAGTGCGTGGTCAGGAACACACCCTAACACTGCAGGGGGATTCCCCCGGGGGGCGTTAATGGGCGGAAACAAATCTGTGGCTCCTCAAACCAGCTTTTAGGAGAGGTGCTCCGTGGCCGGGAGGACTGTGGTTGTTTCCTTTGGAGTTTGTGCTCTGGGATGGGAAGGGCGGCAACACTCTATACATACAGGGTGTCCTTCCATGTTTGGGGCTGGTTACCCCCGGCTATTCTGGCACTGGTGTCATCCAGGCTTAGCAGGGCCAGGGCTCAAAGGCTTTCTGTGTCATGGACGAAGGGCAGAAAGCTATCAGGACGAGTGTCCAGGACACTGGGGTGGTCAACCACAGACTCTGTGAAGGGGAAGCAGTGGTCTAGTCATCCCTGCCAGGTTGCAAGATCCAGTCCCCTTCTTCCTTGTCCCTGCCCCAGCTGACAAGCATTCCTCAGCAGGGGAACCTCCTATCCCTCCATCTGTACTCACTAGAACGATGCTAAGAGTCTGTGTTCCTGTTGTGTGGGTATTTCTCAAACTTGTTAGTGAAGAATCTGCTGGGAGCTGATTAAACGCAGGTTCTCAGGCCGGCCTGTTCAGCCGCTAGGGGTGGTGCTGGAATGTGGACTCCTCACTAGTTCACGGGATGCATATGCAGCCATGGGGAGAAGAGGGCTCTTGGGACCTGGGACCAACTGTATTCAGAGAACCTTTCTCCTAAGTTGTCCCTGTCAGTGAGGTGGCTGTTAGGCAAAGGGAGAGAGGCCTGCTTTGCCAAGGCAGGAAGGACATGCAGGCAAACCCTGCTATTCTAAGCTGTCACCATTGAGTCCTGGTGAGGGCAGGTCTCTGAGCCAGGCTGGGGCCCTGACACAGAGGGGACCCCAGTTGCAGCCAGGGGGTGGCCATGTGCAGGGCAGTCTGGGTCAGGTGTGCACTTTGCTTCAGTGCTCCCAGCAGTCCTCATGGGGCGGGGGCTGTGGCAGCAAGTTGCAACCCCTGAGCCGGCTGTCCCTTCCATAAGAACAGTGACAGGACAGGCCTTACCTCAGGTGTGTGGAAGCAGTTTGATTACCACCGGGCACCTGCTGGGACTGCCTGGGAGCCCCCTGGCTTCTCTATGTTCCCTTCATCCAAGGCTGACCCCGGTCTGGGCCCCTCTTGCCCTGGCTGGTGATTTTTGCTGCTCCTTCCCTTTCTGTGGAAATTGACTCACTCCAAGCTCTGTAAGGTCGTCCATCTCATGTCGTGTGATGGGCCACCTTCCATCCCTCCTTGCCCCCTCCCACCCCCTCCTTCTGTGTCCTCAGGAGACTGTCCTCAGGAGACCAAGGGCCAGTCTGCAGCGTGCTAGGAAAGCAGGCTTTGATCCTGGCTTGCTGGCCCACATAAATGAGTTGCTGCTGACCCCTGGTGCCAGGAATGTTCACCGGCAGCGATTCCTGGAGCTAGGCTGTCCCTGGGGGCGTGTGGGTGAGCAGCGCTGTGGATGGCAATGATCTCTGTGTAGACTGGTCATTTAGTACCATCACAGGACTCTGGGACAGTGGCCGCAGCAGGTGGTGGTGGCAGCTTCTGGTGTAGGTGGTGGAGTTGCTGGGTGGGGGGCTTGAGGAGGCAGTGTCTGCTGATGGAGTCTGGTGTGGGAAACCCAGGGTCTCAGAAGGAAGGGGGCAGGAGGGTATTTAGCCCTACCCTGGGGGCGGGGCGGGGGGGGGGCGGACGGTGAATAGTGAAGGGGCAAGGGACCCAGTTGTAGGGCCCTTTAGTGAGTTGTGTGGTGCTGCCCTAGAACATCCAAGCTGAGCCACCTCTCCAGGCCTGGGTGAGGGCAGTAGGCTACAGAGCCCAGGACTCCCCTGGTGACAAGGCCAGCAGTTCAGGTTGGCTCTGCCTACTGAACTCTCTCAGAAGGGGCTGCACAACCATTGAGCACACCCCCATGTACATTTACAGGTATGGAAACAGGCTATTTTCTGTATGGCACTGTCTTCCATTCACATCTGCCTTCCTGTGGTCACTTTGTGTAGGGATAGGGGTGTGGCTCTTGAGGAGGGGTAAATATGCTGGACAATGGTCCCCCCATCTGATGAGTCTGTGTTGCATTTCTTTCTCCTGTTGAGCATCTATTGCTTGTAAGAAGCCATATCCCTGATGTTCCCCAGCATCTTTTTAAAATTTTTATTTTAAAATTTATGCACAGTAAAATCCACTGCTAGGTTTAATTTTTTGAGAACAGTGTGAGGATATCAGAGGGTCTCCCTTCATTCGGTGATCTAGCTCAGAGACAGAGCTTCCTGAACTTTCCTTGCAAATTAATGCAGAACAATGCAAAGGAGGAGCAGGGCCAAGGGTCTGTGCGCCTCTCCCACCCCACCCCAGGAGGGCTGAGGCCAGGTTGATCTTTTAGAGGACAGGCCTCTATAAGAAAGACAGCTTGGCTCCCATGGGACACTCCCCCAACCCTTTCCTGGAGCCCAGGCCCCTAACGGTATGGGAATCCTGACTGTCCGGTGGCCCTGGCCAAGTGATCCTGTCTGGTCAAGCCCTGGTACTCAGGACCAGCTCGGAGCAGGTGTGTGTTTGGCTCTTGCCTGTGGATGATGCCATGGAGACTGTTCTTGTCCAAACACAAGCTTGTTATGTTAGCCTGTCACTTCTGTGGGGCTGGGTGGGAGGGAAATTTGCCTTGGGCCTGGAGAGTGAGTCTGGGTGGGTGGCAGGAAGATAGAGAAAGGTCAAAGGTCAGAGTTTACATTTATCCACTGTAGGCTGCTGAGTGAAACTGTGTTTGCTACTTCAAGCAAAGTTGGAAAGGGCTGATGGTGTTTTCTAGCAGGGACACCAGGCTGGAGGGTGGCCCAGTTACCCTGATGCCAAACGGCAAGGGCATGACTAGACTCTACTGGGGTTGGCCTAATATCGTCCAGTCCAGCCATGGCACAAGCAACCCCCACAGAACCAGACAGACTGGGGGTGGGGTACCCCTGTTCCTCACCCCCACTGCAGCCACCACAGGTGCCGTGCTACACCTAGTTCAGGATTTGGTCCCCCTGATCCAGGGGTCATGGTGTCCTCTCCCGTGTCTACCTTCTTCTTTGGTGCCTACTGACTGCCCCTTCTCTCCCACCAGCGTTGGTAACAACAGGGCCTCATCCTCCCCAAGATGCCCATCCCTCGAACCTTGGTGGCCTGTGACCAGATGGGTGACATCCAGGTCCCTGGAACCAAGTGGGGTGGGAAGACTATCAGCTGGGTAGGATTAAGCCCTTTATTTTTGGTGTCTGGTGGCCAAAGCAGAGCTTCTGGTTGGATCCTGGGGGGAAGGGGATGGGCAGCAGTGGGCCTAGGAGTTCCAGTTCTCCCTGCGCCCCAAGTGGGTACAGAGCTGACAGGGCAGCAATTCTGTGTGTGTGGTTGCATCAGACTGACCTGGAGCTCGGTCCAGCTCTCAGGACCACTAGCGTGTGACTCTGGCAGGGGGCCTGGTCATGCCAGACTGCAGGGCCAGTGTGAATGCCAGACGTGGTGTGGTGGGCCTCTGGGTGCTTGGTTCACAGAGTGCCTAAGGTGCTGGCCAGTGTGCGCCCCACCCTGCAGGGCCCTCTGCGCAGAGAACTAGGCTGCTTCATCACTCCACTCATCAAACTGAACTTCTTTATTAAGTGCCAAGGATCCAGGCGGGTGCTGCCACCTGCAGTCCCCTCTGCTGAGGCCTGTGCTTGGTGTGTTCCCCAGGAGCCAGAGTCTCCAACACCTGGGACCTGCGGGTGATTCCGTCTCTATGAGCGGCAGGCCGGCAGGCCCTGGCTCCCGGAGAGCAGCGGGCGTGTGAAGCGGTTTCCAGCTTGTAGTGTGGCCGCCGGTCACTTCACGTGCTCGGCGGCGTGCGAGGAACAGTAATACTTCTTGTGGGCGATGAAGGTGGACAGGCTGCTGAACTTGATGTTGCACAGGCGGCAGTACCTGTGGTTGCCGTTGGGCAGGGAGGCCGGCGTCCCCTTGCTGGGGGTCTGGACGCCCTTGTCCGAGTGGGAAGGACGCGTCGGCGGGGCTGAGGGCGGGCCGGGCCGGGGACTGCCGTCTGGAGGGCCGGTGGGTGGCTCTTGTCCTATTCGATCCATCGCGGGGGGCAGCGGGAGAGGGCGTCCGGGCCTCGGC